GGCAGCAGTTTTCTGTCGGGGATTTGTTGTGCCGCGCCGCTCACGTCCGTAGACATGGTGTAACATTGGTTTTGCTTTGTTTCACAGAACTAATCTGTGCCTGGGTTGCGTACGTATATGTGGGGCAGAGCTATCAAAATGGGGCAATACCCTTTTGGGGTAGGGGCGTGTTTGTTTTGGGGATTTCAAATATCAACATTGGCTACCAGAAATCGCTTACTCTGCCTTTAAGTCTTAAGTGTACATTTTTCGAAATTGAGATTTATACATCATCTGAACGCTGAAGCTTTCCATTTCCATTTATGTATGGTTTGATAGGATAGGACAATATTTGGCTGAGATTGGCTTGAAAATATGGAATCTGAGGGTGCAAAAAATCTAAATACTGAGAAAATTGCCTTAAAGTTGTCCAAATGAAGTTCTTAGTAATGCATATTACTAATCAAAAATGAAGTTTTGATATATTTATGGTAGGAAATTTACAAAATATCTTCATGGAACATGATCTTTACTTAATATCCTAATGATTTTTGGCATAAAAGAAAAATCAATAATTTTGACCCATATAGTGTATTTTTGGCTATTGCTGCAAATATACCCATGCAGTTTAAGACTGGTTTTGTGGTCCAGGGTCACAGTTATGTAATATTTAGCCCCTGGAACGCAAATTTTACCAGGAGATAAACAGTTATCCCTGAACAGTTTTGAGTGAGTGACTGAGTCTGTAAATATTGCCTTTTAATGGAAAAGTTAATTACTGTCACTAGTTAAGGATTTTTTTTCTTCAGTTTTTATCCTGACTTCACTGAATCCTGCAAAGTGTCCTCCTTTTTGGTGTTATAGAAATCACCATCCTAGTTATGAATCTTGGGTGATGGAAATAAAGCTACTGTGCATTTAGAGAAATTGAATTAATTATGCAAATATTTTATTATTGCCAAATACCGCCATATGTCTAATCCTAAGTATAAGTGCCTCGCCTCAAATTTAACATCATTTTCGGGGATGCTGGAGCCTATCCTCGCATCTTGGGCCACAGGTGGAGGAAACACCCTTGCAAACAAACTCCACTTAGAAAGGCCTCCTAGCTTTCTTTAAAGATTATACTGTCACATACTTCTACAGGTGCAGATGGTGAGCAGCATCAGAGTGGGGCGGAATGTGAATTATAGGATTCTGGATATTGACTGGTGTACATCAGATAAAGTGGTGCTGGCATCAGATGATGGCTGCGTGAGAGTGCTGGAGATGGCCATGAAGTCTGCCAGTTATAGAATGGATGAGCAGGACCTGACAGGTGAGTTTTTAAAAACTGTCAAGTTACAGAGTTTTTAGTTTAAAGACTGTGTTGTGTAAACACCCCCAATAATGCCAAATGTTGTGTCTAGGGTTTGTGTACAGCAGTTATAATTTGTTTAAATTAAGAATGGAACTTTTTGGTTTTGGTTTAAAATGCAGATAAAAATGCAGAAACAAGTGACCAGAAACAATTTAGCATCCAAGCAGTGTGCACATGAAAAGGTTTAATCAGATCTAATTCTAAATGTAAATGGTGATGAGTAATATATTGATGGAAAAAGAGGTTGTCCACAGTTAATGAGATCTTGTGTCGTGAGAGTGTTTCAAAGAGAAAGCCAAATAATGATTTTTTTTTTTTTTGCCCAGCATTTTCATTTTGACAGATGTATCCCCAATTTAAATTGAGTACAGTAGAAGTTAATGGAAAGTCCCCATTTGGATATCTGATAAATGTGTTGAGGGCTGCATTCATCCTTGTGTGCGTATGTGCATACAGTATGCTTTGACATATTATTTTATTTTTCTTCCTATTGGTGTACAATAGACTTTTATGGTGTATGTATGTCTCTGTTCCAGATTCAGTATGGTGTCCCTATCTCCTATTGCCACGTGCTGCTCTCACACTGAAGGCCTTCCTGATACTGCAGCCATGGTCCAATACATTCACCATGGACATTACTCATGTGTATGTGACAGCTTCATTATTTTTTCACATCTGTATCCATTCAAAAGTCATTCACAGCACATTTTACTCCAGTCTGTTGTGATAGCTGTCTTTGCTGGTGCTATTGACAAAATCTGACCTTTAGGCACTAAGGCTTTATATTCCTTATGTCTTGAAATGAAAAGATATGTTTAAAAAAACAAAAAGCCAGGTTAAAAAAAAAAATCTCCATAAAAGAAAACATCAGACACCAGTACATTTGCACAGACTTATTACGGGTACCAGTACTTTCTTTTTGGTACTCAATGATTTCATCGATGTTCAAGTATAGTACAGTGGGGTTGATGGTTACATAACATCAAATACAGGATGCAATAACTGATCACCAAAGAATTATAAGATCAAAATATATTATTTACTCTCACAGTATATATTATTTAGATTTTTTTTTAAAGTATAACAGTGTATTGTAGGGATGGGAAGATTCCCCGATTCGCTCGGTGCATCGGCATAAAAAGTTAAAGATGCGATGCATCGGTTTAAAAAGTGTGCATCGGCTACAAGTTGTCATTTATATCGCGATGCATCGTTTCTAACATATTTGCATTGGTAAAAACCGATTTATTTATATATAATTACTAGTGGATGCGGTATACTTTTATTATTTAGAAAGTGACCAATAATCTGTGACCAATATTTTATATGTAGATTGATTTCTCCTCTCTAAACTGTTTCTCAAGTGCACTCTCTCATCACCGCTGCTGCTGCGTGAATATGACGCATTTCACAACACCACGGAGACCCGAGGAAAAACTGGGATTAAAGTCCAAAACCTGACTTGAAATAACCTAACAAATAAATCGGGGCTAAAGCGGTTCTATTAACGACAAATGAAATTCACACAACCTCACTAATTTGTGGACGCTTATTCTTAAGCAGACCTTAATGTCGATCTTAGATCAAATCGATCCACCATGACAAACAGCGAATATATCTGTGCTGTTTAATGCATTTGAGACGTTGTGTTTTCCTCAGTGCATAACTGACATGTCACAGATATATTTTTCATCTGTAAATGTTAGAAAGTCATGCAAACATATACATTTTGCTGAGTGGGTGAGGCACGCGAGAGCAACAAGCGCTGCTGCGCGCATGCGCGCTAAAAAGAAGGCGTGCAATCGAATAGGAGCGCAATAATTCTGAGTAAAATATAAATTTTGCTAAAAAATTTGTTTTTGTACATTAAATGTGTCTTTTGTAAAATTTTAAAGCTACATATAAAGTGTATTTTTATGATAGCAGTAACTGTAAGTGGACTATTGTAATA